AAGGCGTTTTATTGTTTTTCTCTCATGGATTGTTTGGTTGGTTTTTTGGCCTCGTGCCTCCGCCTTTTTCCCAGGGTTGGGAAATGTCAGCGAGGCGGTCTGGAGTTGGCCATTCTGCAACTGGACTACTATAATTCCCAACGCCTGCACCTAAGCTGGGTAATCGCCCCAGTATTTGGGTGTGATGGTCAGTGGGCGGTGGCGGTGGCTTATGATGTTAATTTTTCCTATTAATACCCGCCTTTGGGTTTTGCTGTCGAAGTGGATTGTGATGTGCGAATGATGTGTCTCCATTTGTGTGAGATGCTGTGTCTCTTTGAGGTACTCACTATTGCCCATTGCGCAAGCACTTAATAACCGGTGGAGGGTGGCCGCTCTATTCGGTGGTTAAGACCGGCGACTATTGGAGGTGTTTGAATTTGGATTTCGAAGCTCTGCATATTGAAGGCCTTCGAGGGTTTTGAAGATCTCAGGATTCTGTAGCTGCATGAGTCGTTCCGACATGGCTTCCACTAGCGGGAGCAAGCAACCTGAAGGTGAACCTGGTGGCTATTCCGGAGGAAATCGTGGACCTCTATGCTACTCGTGTAAAGAGTACGGACATTATGCTCGCGATTGCGGCCGTTATTGGAGGCGGGAAAAAGAAGAGGCGGATCGACGACGAGACGGAAGTGAACGGCGTGAGGTGGAAAGGCCTCGGGAATACCGAGCACGCTCCGCGTCACCACGGCGTCCGTATTGGGAACCACCAAGACTTTCACCATCAGCGGATATCCGATATCGTCCAAGAACGGAACAAAAAAGTGATGCCACTAGCGATCTGGTGGCTATCCTACTCGCTAAGGAGGAAGCAAAGAAAAAGAGACGAGAGGAGAAAGAGGAGAGAAAGAAGCAACAACGTGAAGAGCTTGCGAAAGAGGAACGGCGACGTAAAAAACAACTGAAGCAGGAGCAGGAGCGACAGGAAAATGATTTGAGAGTGGCACGGGTCATTGACATGCAGATGTCGAGGCGATGGGGTGCACCGCGTGAAGAGCAGAACATTGAGAACAAACGTGCTCGAGCTGAGAGGGCGCGGAGGATGAAGCGTAAGATCAGGCAATCTCGGCCTTCGAGCGAGTCGGACAGTGAAGGGGGCACGACAGCTATACGTGCAAGCGCAAGACGTATGAGCCTTAGTTCTGAAGCGTCAGAGGAAGAGGAGACTCAGCCAGCTATCACACCCCTTACGCGTACGGCTCGCAAGATGTACGGGACTCGAAAAGCCCGAGGAAGACCACGTGGTGAGAGACTTGCAGTACAGCCGAGGAATTTGGACAAGGATATTGAACTGGGCATAGGCCCGGATCCGAGGCAAAGGTATGTAAATGAGATGATAGCGCAGCTTGAAGCGATTGACTACAAGGAGGTGAAGGAGTTGTGTAAGCGAGAGATGGTACCGTATGTTGGAAAGCAACAGGCGATTGCTGCGCTGGCTGAATCCAGGGCGTCCAAGGTCTTCAGTGGGAAAGCGGGAAAGGCTCCCCCGGTGGCTACGGCTACGACGATTCCGTCAAGCAGTTCTGAGGATGAGTCGTCATCCTCCTTTCAGTCGGACGCAAGCAGCGATGAGGAGGCATGAGCTAATGGGTCGGTGGATAAACTTTGGTCCATCTGCCAGGATCTTATCAGACGTCGTAAGCAGATACAAGGAGTGAATAGAGAACTAGAGGCAAGTCTTCGATGGGTTGTGTATGCTTTGACACGTAGGGGATGTATACCGTGGGGGAGGAAGTTTGTAACAAACTGGGATGATCTCTGTATTCGTGAAGTGAATTGCTTTGAAGCAGCTAGGAATTGTGTGTATGTGGGGATCTCGCCGTATTGTAAAGCTATCTATGTTGGAAAGACTGAACGGGAACTGGATGTACGTTGGACCGAACACTATTACAGATGTGTGCGTGAGGACAGCGCATCTCATTTTCATCGTTGGTTACGTACATTTGGTAGAGAAAATTATGTCCTCCTACCCCTTGTGTGTTCTAACACCGAAGACCTTGTTGCCACTGAGTCCTTTTTCATTCGTCGATGGTCACCTGCCTTGAATACTGCGGGCAAGCGGGGCGCACAACCTCGCCAGCACCGCCCTGGTAAGCGAGAACGTAAAAAGAATGTGGGTGCTGGGGAACGGTGTGAAGATCTTCGGATTCTGAAATTTGGGGTCCAGGGCGTGGCGTCCAGCGTTAAACTGAATTACCTTTTAAAACAGCAGGATGACCGGGGATGTCGGCAATTTCTATTGACGTCTAGTGGTGGTAATGCATGGGTCGATGGTTGGAAGAGTGTGAAAAGACTGTTTGGTGAAACGTTGGTTCAGAAGGGACGAAAGGTATGCATGCTTCGTGATTGTGAGGAGTTGTTGGAAGACGGTAAGGACCTGCTTATTGTAAATTTACGGCGGTGGAGGAAGACGAATAGCAGGGGTAAACGTTTTCTGATTTCTTTGTTGAAATTTCCCTGTAAAAGACATACGATAACATCTTGCGACTTGCAGTTCCTTACTGAAATATATCCGATCATCAAGGATTTCAGTAAAAAAACAGACTCGAACACTGCTTCGACGTATTGTGAATTCTGGCATTAAGAATGGGTATGGGTTTGACTTTTGTAAGAAGTTGATAGTTAAGGTGCAATTTGATGATCGTATTAGTATGAATGGGGTACGACGGGTGTTAGATGGAAAGATCGATCAAGCCTCAATTCCCTCGTGTGTCAAGAGTACCTTAAAGCGGAAAGTCAGGACCGTTTGGGTCAAGAACCCTTCTGTTGCTGACGTTCTACATAATCACCGACAGTTTTCTCGTTGGGAGGTTTCAACCTGTGCATGTACAGGTCATCCGCTGCCAAGGATCAATGGCCACGTATGCTGTAGAGTTTGGGAGGACGTTCGATCTCCACCATTGATACACAATAGTTGCAATATACCTAGGGCTGTGCTAGCTCTTAGGGTGGATCAGTTGTGTCAGGAGTTGAGGGACTCATGTTCTAAATGGGGGTGTGGTAAGATGTTGAACTTTGATTTCACAAAGGAGGAAGTTTCCGTTTGCTTTAACCAGACCATTTTGCGTGGCGATGAGCTTTTGATTGAAGAAGTGAGAAGGGTGAAAAGGATGTACCAGGGCTTGGTCCTGACACCTGTTGACAGAAATCCCGGGGAGACGGTGGTCATCTGCCCAAGGCTGTATCATGAAGCGATGCAAAACTTGTTTGTCAGAAGTAGCTGTTATGTCGTGACAGATACAGACGAATCTGAAATTTGGGATAAGGCACGGTCGGAATACAAGCAGCTAGGTTTTCAGCATCTGGGAAAGTGGGATGGTAAGGGAACGGCGGGGAAAGGGTACGTTATACCCAAACACAAGGACTTGGAAAGGTTTCGCCCGATTTGCCCTACCTTCGGTGAACCCGGAGCCGTGGCCTCCAGAAAGGTGGCTAAAGCACTAAACGGGCTGTTAAATGCTTTGCCTGATGGACAGCATTTTAATTTGAGATCAGTGGGTGAATTAGCGGGGAGATTGGATCGTGTCAATCAGCGAGTGGCCAGGAAACCAAATAGGATGATTGTGGGGGCTTCCTACGACATCAAAGACATGTTCTCGAGATTGCCGCACGATGCAATTATCAAGTCTGTGGAATGGTTATTGCAGTGGTTGTCTGAATCAGGACACGATCAGGTATGGGTGAACCCAAGGGGACGTGGGGCATCTTTGGGTAGGGGCAAGCGTGAGTTGGGTTGGTGCCCGATTAGCTTCAAGGAAATCAGACTGTATGTGCTGTTTAGTCTTAAGCACACCTACACTCGAGCATCGGATATCCTGCTTAAACAGGTCTTGGGTATCCCGATGGGGAGCAGCATGAGCCCCCCTCTAGCATGCATTATGTGCGCAAGATCGGAGTGGCTGTTCCTGAATACACTGGGAAGGGACCGAACTTTGGTCCATGGAACATGACTGATGGACGATGTTTCCCTATTCATAGAATGTAGGAAGGGTTCGGGAAGATCGTTGTGTGTGGCAGATAAAATTCGAAGGAGTTTTGAAAGTTGTTATCCCCATACCCTTACGTTGGTGAGAACTGATGACGGTACCGGGAGTTGGGAATTTTTGAGCTGCTCCTTGGTGATTTGAGACAAGGCACCTTTTCTGGGCTGCTTTCAGAGGGTCCGGAATGAACAGGAACTGGAAAAAGGGCTACCCTTGGCAATTCGTGCAGGCCAGGATTATTCGTCCTGGTCCTCGCGAAGCCAAAAAGCGGCGGCAATAGCTGGGTGGCTGCACCGAATCGATAGGAACACAACTATTCGTTCCAAGATACCAGTCCAGGTTGTTTTGTTGAAGGTGGTGTACTGTAGGAAAGGGTTTCCGGTAGCTCTGTTCGTTAAGGTCCTTGAAAATTTTGCTGCAAAGAGGGGCCAGATTTGGCAGTTGACTGCCAGTCTGGTCAGAAGTTTTGTTCAGTAGGTCCTTGAGAATTTGTTCAGTAGGTAGGCGCTTGTTTGGCTCGCTACGTCGTACTATAAATAGGTAGTCGTAACATGTATCAATCCTCTTTCACAGCTGACCTTAGCAGCTGCCGACAATAGTCGGTATGCTGCCTTTGGGTTTTGACCGGAGATTTGGGTGTGATGGTCAGTGGGCGGTGGCGGTGGCGGTGGCTTATGATGTTAATTCTTCCTATTAATACCCGCCTTTGGGTTTTGCTGTCGAAGTGGATTGTGATGTGCGAATGATGTGTCTCCATTTGTGTGAGATGCTGTGTCTCTTTGAGGTACTCACTATTGCCCATTGCCCATTGCCCATCTCTTCCCCCCTCTCCCCCCAACTTCTTTTCTTTGTGTGATAATAAAAAGAGCTGAGTTTCTTGTGTTAACCAAAAAAAAAAAAAAAACTGGGGACGACATGGGGACACACGGCAAAGAGATAGCAAAAAGGAAGATCGCAGCATTTCAAAAGTTGCGTTACCTGCCGCTGAATAGGACTCAAGAACAGCTTATCGGCGATTTCGGCAGAGTAGGTGCTGACAAGGGGCATCTTGTTTCCAAGGAAGAAATTGTAGAGGTCGTCGTACTCGAATTTCCCATCTGCACACATGGAGGCCGACGTCAACAGATGCCCAACAATACCAACGTGGTCCCCAAGCTTAGGGCATACTCACACTACGACCTTTTTACGTGTTTCTGGAGTCTGGACAGAATTGCGGCCTGATAAATCCAGGCATGGCCGTAAATCCGGTCAGATACATTTGACATACTGCTAGTGTGAGTACGCCCTTACCCTTGTAACGATTGCGAATAAAAAAGGACGAAAGCTGAAGTGGACTTCTCTACAAAGCACATGTATGCAAAAGCAAAGGAAAACATGAAGGACTTGGTGCAAAATGAAGGACTTGCCTACAAAGCGAAGGGCTTGTGTGCGAAGCGATGAGCGAAGTGGAGGACAAAATGAAGCCTTGTGGTGCAACCTGAAGGACGAAGTGAAGGACTTGAGTGCAAAGTGAAGAACAAACTAAAGGGATTTGTATGCGAGTTGGAGAACAAAGTGAACAACATGTGTGCAAAGTGGAGGACAAAGCGAAGGACTTGTGCACAAAGTGGAGCGCAAAGTGAAGCACCTGGGCTCAAAATGGAGGACAAAGAGGAAGGACCTGTGTGCACAGTGAGGAGCTCGGTGTGCAAAGCAAAGTGAAGCACTTGTCAGCAGAGTGAAGGACTTGTATGCAAAGTGAAGGACTCGTGTGTGACTTGGAGAACAAACCGAGTAACATGCATGCAAAGTGAAGGACAAAATGAGGGACGTGTGTGCAACGTGGAGGAGAAATTGGAGGACCTGTTCGCAAAGTGAGGGATTTGTGTGCAAGCTCAAGTGAAGGACAAAGTGAAGGACTTGTGTGACAATTGAAGGACGAAGTGAAAGGATTCCCAACTTGCACACAAATTACCTATTTGGGTCTTTCGTGCAAACCAAAGGGCAACCACAACAAAAAAAAACTCACCACAGCAAGACACATGTGGCTTTTTCGGCTTCCATTCCATAACGAATATGTCCACTTTCACCACCAGGTTCAAACTAAAATGGCATCCACTAACTGCATCACCGTTTCATTCCCTTCTCCCCCCCCCTCTGAGAGTGGTTATGTTAATTGTGGTCACTTTTTTTTTTTTTAACATCGAACCAAGGAATGCCATGTAGGAAAATACATAAAAGACATTCAAGTTGATAAACTGCAAAAATGTCCACCCCCCTCCCGCCTCCCCCTCCTCCGACCCCAACCCCCCTTGCAACCCCCCCAAATACCCCACACATTCAAGTTGATAAACTGCAAAACTCTTTCCTCCCCCCCCCCCCCCCCCCCCCCCCCCCCCCCCCCCCCCCCCCCCCCCCTCCAACCTCAACCTGCCCGCACCCCCCCCAAATACCCCACACCACTCGCTCAAATGAAGAACAACCAAGCTCAAGCGTTGTAACTCACCAAACAACACCCACTTCTCATCTTCATGCTTGATCACGACAACTGCTGGTGCCTCAGATATAATGTTCACAGCCGCAGCTACTTCAGCATTGTTTGTTTGCCCAAAAGTGAGGGTGTCATCTTCTTTCGCAAATTCGCAGAAAACATTCCATGCATCACCCTGGATAGTCGAGCAAGGAGGGCCAAACCAAAAGCAAGCCAAGGAAGTAGGGCAAAACCAAAGTACCCACAGCACAGTCCGCAAGGAAGGAGGGCAAAACCAAAATCAAGCCACCCAAGGAGGGCCAAACCAAAAGCAAGCCAAGGAAGGTGGGCAAAACCAATGTACCCGCTGCACAGTCCACAAGCAAGGAGGGCAAAACCAAAATCAAGCCAGCCAAGGAGGGCAAGACCAAAAGCAAGCCAAGGAAGGACGGCAAAACCAAAAGCAAGTCAACGAAGGACAAGCGAGAGGTGTGCCAAGCAGAACAAAGGTTCGGTATAAAGAAGACTGATTATGCGTACATACATACATACATATTACATACATATAGATATACACATATCTACATATACACATATATATACATATATGCAGTCACAGAGAACTCCCTGGTGGAGCTGTAGGCAGAAAGGGAGAAGAGGAGACGAAACAGAGGGGCTGTGACCAACGTTTCGTCAGCGTTTCCCTGTCTCACTAATCAGGAGGCTGCACCCTCTACAGTCTGCAGAGTCCATCCCTAACCAATGGTGATACCACAAGTGATAATCTTACTAACGCAAGTTGTGATTAAGCATCACAGATTGCCCAACAACTGATACACTTAAGTTGTGGTCTGGGAGGCCTCCCAGACCACAACAGAGTCCATCCCAACGTTGCTCAAAAAGAAACTCGTCGCCTACAAAAACTGTGGAGACTTGGCCTACCACACCACAATGGATGGCCGGGCCAGCCAAAAAAGAAAAACAGTGCGCGCCACTGGCGGTTCGGAAAAGCTTGCCGCACAGTAGGTTGCGTTAAAAGCATAGTCACACTAGCACTTTCCTAAATGAATCTGACTTCAATTACAGCCGGATCTGCATGCATCTGGCTGCAATCGCATCCTGAGTTGGTCAAAAAGAGTCCTAGTGTGAGAATGCCTGAGTTGCGCACAACCACTGCTCTCAAGATACCTGTGACAGGAAGTAGCGCGGACTATCGACCACCCAGACCAGAGGGCAGACTCTACAGAAGAAAGTAGGTTCACACCCATCATACGCCAGCAACTTATATACTTTGACACAGAAAACCGCCGGATGAAACATTCACAGAAACCAATAAAAGCACAAGAAACAGCGGTCCTGTGACAGGCTGCTTTGTCAGAGTGTCACAAACCATATATATTTATAAATTATAATTTTATAATTTTATTTTATAATTTTATAATTTTATAATTTTATAATTTCATATATGTATCATGAATGTCTATATTATATGTCGCCATCGACAACTCCCCAGTGAACTGTAGGCAGGGGGTCTGCAGCAGACAGATTTTCTGCTAAAAGGGCCTTTACCGATATAGGCCTCAGGCCTTGTAAAAATAAAGAAGCACGGGCCTTGAAAAAGTAAAGCATTGTGAAAAGGTATCTCGCCAGGGCTCAGAAACGTGAAAGCAGGTCAAAGGTCAAGTTCTCTGTCAACAGGCACATCTAAATCTAAGGCAAAGGGCATTGTCAAAGGACTTACCTGTTCACCAGGAGCTGTGTATGTCATGTCTGTTCGGGTAAGAATGTGTCTGTACGTGCAGACAGTGTACCTGTTCGTGCAAAGGAATGTGTCTGTTCGTTTAGAGTTRTGCCTGTCCGAAAGTAAAGTCAATAGGCACAGTCCCAGTTCTGGTCTAAGTCCAGGGGTCAGTCCAGATCCAGACTTTCAAGTCCAAATCCAGGCCAGGAGGCCTCAGCAGCAGTTGAACTTCATTGGGACTCTACTGGGACTGTCTCTTATACACATCTAGATGTGTATAAGAGAGAGGGAAGGAGAAGATGCGCTGAGTGAAGGGAGAAGCTTGTATGCTGGAAAGAATGCAGCCATAGCTGCCCAGCAGTTAGTATTAGTACTAGAGGGTTAGTAGTGATAGTTATGAGTAGTATTCAGAGTAGATCCTCATGAATAGAGAATGTGTATGCATCGTAAGAGGAAGGGACTGAGATATAGAGTGTTCATTCAAGTTTCGGCTATGGAAGATACTTACCTGAGTTGGATGTGACCTGCAGAGGTGGCGCTGAKGAGTAGTGTCCATATTGATGACTTGGAGACTATCTGCAGGAGTAGCGCTGATTCACTGGAAGTCATATTGATGAGTTGACAAGAGATTGGTGTTGCGCTGATGAGCGCTGGACTCARGGGAACCTTGAAACRCTTTGTATTCATATTTTTGATAATATAAGCTGTGAAACTCGGTCCTCTTCTCATCTACCTTTGTCTATGACTTGAGACTATTGATCGTGGTGTGTGAGGATGATGCATGACATGTACACATCTGCGTGAGATGGTCCCCAGGACCCATGCACTGCGGATTCTCGCCAATTAATCAGGAGAGTGGAAGTCCGATGAGACAAGAGTATTTGTATTTGAATTCTCAACACATATCATGCAGGTCATTTGGGAACACAATAGAACAATTAAGGTGGGAAAAAAAAAAAAAAAAAACAGTTGGCCCCTGACTAACGTTGTATTTATACTGAATATACAAATTGCCTTGGCCGTTGGGCCCGCAATTTTTTTTTTTTTTTAAGGGAAAAAAAAAAACACAATACATAGGTGTGGCGATCACCAAATAATGAATGATGATGACAATTCCCAAACTGCACATCGCACAAGTAGAAAAGAAAAAGGCCAAAAATAAATAAATAAATAACCCGGACTGATGCTCCCCAGAATGGATATGGAGCCAGTGCCATAAGGACCCCATTTTCCTCCCAACAACAACAACAACAACAACAACAACAGAAAGAACTCGCACATAGTACAGGAAGGAAGGTCATCAGAATGATTGAATCAACACGAACCAGCTGACGGGAACGATCGGGACGCTGGGCCTGTTTCCCAGCAAGCGCCGCTTCCCATGAACAGATCGGAGCTTCTAATATAAAAAAAAGGGTGACCAGAACAAAAGAGACGCAGGGCCGCTTTCCCAGCACGTGCCACTCCACATGAATAGATCGCAGCTTCTTTAAATTTAAAAAAAAAAAAAAACAATAATCATAATAATAATAATAATAATAATATAAAAAAAAGGATGACCGGACAATCCAAACCGACCAAACAGACCCAAGATCCACCATTGTTCCACCCACCCACCTACATCCATTCTATCGACATCCCAGGTGGCCGGGATGGGCCCGGGCCCGGAGAGGGGACCATATGAACCGTTGAAATACAGACCTGAGTTCGAATACAGATGGAAACATATGAACGCAACAGATTAAGAGCAAAAAAAAACACAGAAAAGACGGAAGGTTGTTTAGCTCTCTAGATACACTCTCAAGATTGTTTGCTGCCCCTTCAAACAGCTAAGCGAAGATAAGGATACATGATTTTATTTTTTTCCCCCAAGATGGGTGGGAAAAAAAAAAAMAAAAAAAAAAACAAAGGAAAAAAAAAAAAAAAAAACAGGATGGGTGGCAAGATAGGTAGGGAGCTTGCCTTGAATTCAGTAAAATACCCCACGACCGCTGCGGGATATTTACCAAGAAACTCAGTCAATTCCTCTTTGGTGGAAATCGTAGTCAACATCGCCTCGCTCTTCTTCTTCACCCATTGCACAATATCTTCTCTACAGAAGAACAAAAAACAAAACAAAAAAACAAAAAAAAAAATCGATGAAAAGGACTCAAAAACCGAAGTATGAGATCTCTGTACGCCGCCAGCACGGAATTCTCAGCTGGTGTTCTATTTTTAGCACCATACACACACACACACACTCTCTGAAAAACTATTCAAAGGAAAGACAAGCCAATGTCATTGCTGATCAAGTCATACGTACTATGTACTGTGTACTATGTGTACCACGTGTACTATGCACTGTCTACCATGTGTTCTCTCCGGAAAAAAGCACAAGCCAATGTCATTGCTGATCGAGTCATACGTACTATGTACTATGCAAGATGCCACTGCTGATAGAGTCATATGTACTATGCACTATGTACTCATGTACTTATGTTTTATGCACTATGTGTATGTACAATGTCATTGCTGAAAGAGTCATAGGGTCATACGTACTATGTACTATGTA